AGTATAAGAAAAATCTCTACCGTTGGCCAAATTTTTATCGCATACCGCTTATACTGTTTACATCGCCCAGCCATAGTCTGAGGCCAAAACGTATCGAAGTTTTTAACAATATAGCCATGTATTGATAAAGGCTTAAAAACATTTTTTCTATACCCACCGAGTGCCTCAGTTTTTTTCGCTTTATGATTATATAAATATGATTTATTTTGATCCCAAATCTGAAGAGCACCTAGGTGAAACTCCTTCACTACACGATAGACTAGTGTGGCATTCCGGTAACCTTGCTTTTTGAAATGTCAATAATTGGCTCACAGCTTGTAAAAATCCCAAACAAATAGAATTATTAGATGCACTCATCAGAATCTTTCAGATCAATGACTGATACAATCTTCCACAATTTTGAACAACCGATACCAATCACATTGAAAGTTTGTTATTAAGGCTGGGACAACGCGTCGATGTAATCAATGTCGACGCAACAAATGCGTAGACTGAAAATATGCGCGTTGATTCGTCAGACTCAAAACAAAGATGGCAGCAAGTAGTAGCAGTAGCGTAGCAATGCAAGTGCTGTTATTGCATGGATCTATTTTAAGTGTTATTGGGCGTTCAGAACACCGACGCTGGAACGCAGTTTCCACGTGCAGTAGACGCACATTCTAATTTCAGAGGCTAGGGGTGTTCAAACCAGAAGTCCTGGGCTGCGGTGGCACCCGGCGGAAGTAGCTGAAGTGCTTTGATGCTAACGGAGATAAGCTAGCAGCTTTTTGTGTAAAGTTCTTCTCTAAGAAGGCAGCTCTGCAGCGTCTCTGTGTCCAGAGACCTTTCAGAGACTGTATATAACAGCAGTATGTGTTCACGGAGGTGCGCCATACGTTTATTTTATTATTAGACAGTACTTCCGCATCGGCGAACATGCTAGCTGCGCTATTTTACAGTGACAGGAGAATGACAACTCGGGCTGGAGGCAAATGTTCACAAGCATAGAGTCCCCTATTGTCACACACAAAGTGACAGACTATATTTAAGAGGAAAGGAAAGTGTCCAAGTCTAAGTTATTTGTTTGTGAATGAAGATGATTTTTTCAGTAAGCTAGGCCGATGTTCAACATAATTGTTGAATTCTAAATATTTATTTTCAATATTTTTTGCTGGAAAAGCACTCTGTCTGGCTTAAAGCCCTCAAGTTTACATTGGTTATTGTATTCTTTCAGTTGCTCTACACAAGTATTTTGGGTGAACTTTATTTTTTTTAATTAAATGCTAAACAACAAAAATAATCGTTTATCCCAGCCCTATTTGGCATCTCTTCAACTCAGTATTTTCACTTTAATTCAATAAATTATCCTTTTATTCTACGCTCTATTGATTGAAGTATGCTTTAAATCAAAACCATTTGGACTTCACTCCCTCTTTCCTACACTTCCCACTAGGGCCGAGTGATATAATACTGTTCATAGTAAAAATAGTATGATTTTGAGGGATGGTATTAAACTGAAATACTACAATAGCATTTGTGTCTATGCTCAGTCACACTGGTGTTGTTGTCCTTTGGTCCAAGCGAGTGTTGAGTGAGAAAAAAAACTGATCATAGCAGCGACAAACAAGCTTCCCTCCTAAAAAGTACTTTCTGAGGTTGTGCAAATCTTCTGACCAGAGTATTCCAAGTAAAAAAAACAAAAAACAATGGTATGTCTTCCGTTTGGCTCCATTCCTAAACTGAAACTCTTGCTCACCCAACTGGTGTGGGCCTCTCTCTTAAAGAGACAGTGACACAAGTAAAAAGAATGTTATAACATCTATTTAAATGTATTTTGTAACATTCAGTATTCTGTCCCTAAACACAAGTCATATTTTATTCCGTTTTTCACAAGGTAGATACATTTGAATATTAGTTTTACCAATTATATTTTATACCATAGTCAGTTTAATTACTTCCCTTTTCATATTGTGGCCTTTGAATGTAAAATAAATGGTTCCTCTTTTGCTTTTGGACCAAAACAATACGCATGGCGCCGTAAAGATGGCGCCGTGGCAAGAGCTCTGGTGTGTGTCATATGGTGCACACTGGGGTAGTCTTAGTTTTTCCTATGTGGTTTTACTGCAAATGGCAAATAAATGAATCTGAATCCGATTTAAACTGTTGGGCTTATACACTTAGAACTTAATTTTTCCCAGGTCTTTGTTGTGAGTTATCTTGTTATGATATTTCCTTCTCACATGGTGTTAAACATTTATAGCATAATTTCACGCTCAGCACTACTTCACTAACACATTTTATCCGAAAATTTGTCCTTGTGAGTGATGGAGTTGTCATGGAAACCAACAGAAGTTGACTGGGCTTATTCCTGGAGACGGGCAGAGGCATGGATGTGGCTGTGTAGATATGTGATGCTAAACATGGCTCATGTAAAGCAAAAGTCTTTACATTGCCCATAATACATATTATATATTTGATTCATATTTTAAGAAGAATTATAGAAATAATCATTCTGAAGGATATTCTAATTTTCCAAGTTTTATCTGTAGACGGAAACACGCAAATATCCTCTTTAAAAAGGGCCGAACACACGCCCTTTGCAAACACCACCTGCCGTTTACCTGGCAGTTTGGCTGTCGTTGGTACAGAGCTCCATATTTTTCTGGTCTGTGCTCTTAACCACATAGTCCACATCATTTAAACATGTGGCAAAAAAAAGTGTTTATAAAAGCATCTATGTGTACAAATACGCTTGTTTCTCTGTTCATTTTAGAGTTGACAGGCGCTGAGATAATACATCCTCATATATCCCCCAAAGAAGGTGTGAACTTGAAACAGTTGAAGAATGCTAAGAGACCATTTTCTCAAATATAATATAGGAGCACAGGTCTGACAGTGAACCCAGTCCTTTCAACAACTTCCCAGTGTTCTATAAGCAGTAACGCCATTTCTCTGTAGGAACAGAATACAGGAAAGAAGGCCTGTGCAACAACACTCCCATAAGAGCCAGGGAAACACTGGCGCTCCATTGGACCATCTCCAGTTCTCCTCCGCCAATAGAAGAGCTGCAACGAAGCAGGCGTCATGGTCACTTGTTTTCAACCCTGTTGTGCAAGATGTAAAAGCACACACTGCCAGAACAGCAGAGAACATACTTCAGAAAAAGAGGAGGAATAAACCCAAAAGTGGATCCCAGGGAGTCAACTGAGGGTCACAATATTTTATATCCTAATGTTTGTGTATTTCAAAGACATTATTTTAGCTTTTCTGAACTACGCATTATGGACCATCAACAGCATACTATACCCTCCTTTATAACCTGGGACCACGAGATAAAGCAACTACTACACTGAGGAATAACTTATTTATCAACTTTGTAGTCAAATATGTATGCAACAAGAACCAAATGTAGTTAATATAACTTCACAGCAAATAATAAATACATAGTAGGTCTGACAATAACACACATCTGTCTGACATACTGTGATAAAGCTGATATGATTAATATTCGGAGACCAGAATAGTAAGTGTGTTACAGATCAATGTCCACAAAACACGGATATGTGTGGGGGTTGTGAGAGTAGCAGGTGGTGTCCAGGGCAGCCATGAGCCTTGTGATTCCAAAAATATTTGACTTTGCAAAGAAAAAAGGGCACGTTGTATAAACTGCCTTCATTTGTAAGTATGTCTGTTTGGTTGAGAAGCGCTCGCTCTCACGAAGGGTTTGCGTTATGTTGCTCATTTAAAAACAACTGCGATAGTTTGACGTTACTACATACAGTCACAAACCAAAGATTCATTGGACTAAACCTATACAAATGCCGAGTGGTAACTGAACTGGTGTACCGTGGGCCATCAGTGGAAAGCACATAGACGCTGCATTATAATTTGAAAGCTAAAAAAGGAAACAGTCCCTGTCTAAAATACCAGCCAGCTCTGTGAACCGCCATCGAGGCTGGGGGTTGGGAAGTGGGGGAGGTGAAAAATAGCAAGTCACCACCAAACACAAGTGCTTTTTATTTTCACTCCAAAACAGACACAACATAGCTAATCTGAAGCAACATCAGTAATTAAATTGGTTCTGAGGAGCGTTATTCCAATGACGTCTACAATAATTTAAAATCACCAAACACTCGAAACATTTAAGAATTGTACAGATAATTACACTGATGAACATGACTTGTCATGAGAAAACTGGCACCAAATGCAAGCAGTGTGCTTACATAAAATGTCAGTATCGGTGTGAGGCTTGAACTTTCTCGAGACAAAATGCGTGGCACTATGCCACAGACTAGAAAGAGCGTGAGTCTTATCTAATTTTCTTTCAGGGAAATGTAAGTTAAAAATAAAACATCCTTGTAAATGTTAAATGAATATAACGAAAGAACACGCAGATAAACGTATCCAAACATATTTGACCAATCCCCAATTTATAACTTAATGAGATTTTCCAATTCTATACTAAAAAGATGCCACAAAATAGAAGTTTAGGAATGTGGGTGAAATATACAATTAAACCAAAACACAGCCTCACTCTCTGTCTAAGCAGCCTGCATAATATTTAAGTTCAGTCTTCTTGGTCGTCCTCAACGAACCAGCCCTTAGGGTTTCATGGGTAAAACACAAATGCCAAAGTGTAACAGGTTTTAACAACAATCTAACGTTAAATAACAAGACATTCAACTCGTTACACAGTGCACAAACATGCAAAGATAGACCAGTTCAGTCAAACAATTATGTGGGAAAAACACATGATTTTTGCCTGATCCTAAGCAACGAGCATGAACAGACTTACCTGGAATAAACAAGACAAAGCAGAAATGCTTCTACAGAACTTGGTTTGTGTAAATATGCATATTTAAAGCAAAAATGTAGGGTTTTAATCAAGTAAAGTGGACGCCAAGTAATGAGCTAAACAGTTAGCAGTTAGCTTAGGAGCGATGATGGGTCGCCTCAAACATTGTGTTTCATCTATCTGAACCTCCACTGGCTGATCATAATGCAGAGCCCCGTGTACTCACCTAAAGATACATTCCAAAATCTTTAAAGTGTGGTAAAATCCAGTACAAAGGAAAACCTTTGTGATATTCCAACATGAAGCAGCCCACTAGGCCCTTGACAAGGCCTCGGAGTCTCCCGTATGTCTGCCGTTAAAAGTGGCTGCCTCTGTCTGGATCACAAACAAACTTCTCAGTGTGTCCACGCATTGGCGTAAAGTTAAATTCAATATCCTCGCAAAGTAAAGGTCATCCATTAAGTCTGTCCAGTAGATCCCTGCAAGGAAAATCCATTTATTTAGTTGATTTAATATTTATAATAGGTATTTATAATGAGGTATGCTGCTGTATCTAATGCACTCAGATTGTGTGAGGATCCGTACGTTTGCAGAAGCGCCCATCCCCCTCCTCACCGGGCTCGCGCTCGCGTCCCTGCGAAATGACACACAACCTGTACGCGGGGTTTCCAGAGCGACCGAGAAGGGGCGAGTGTGTTGCGTGATACGATACACGAGAGGCGATTGGACAATCACGCGTCAATCATACATATTGACCAATCACAGGCGTGTAGCAGTCAGTGGGCGGGACAAGGCAGAAGAACTGTTTGCAGTCGTCCTCAGCGACGACATTTGAGAGAGTTGTGTTGAGACGTAAATAGGGCGACCAACGGAATGGAACTAATCTCTCCGGATATTTTATAAATTTGGATTAATCTTAAACTATTGGGACTATGGTTTTCTTTCGGTGAATATGACAGAGGATTGCGTGTTTGAAATTCAAACACATTCATGAGTAAAAAGAACAGACGGAGTAAAGTTCCTTTTCTTATGGTGGCCCCATACGTGCATTTTATGGGAAGATGCTTCTTGTTGAATGGATATCATATAAAAGGGATGGATATTAAAAAGGATATCACTATGTACTAAACAATACAGAGCTTTTGACCATTTTAATTAACGTGAAAAATAAATCTGTCTTTTCCGATTACCTTTATATTATTCGCTCGAATATGTCCCAAAAACGGACGCTATTTGGATTGAGTTTGAAATAAATGACTGGTAGATGACAAAGGATCGTTCAGTGTCTTTTTCGGCGTTTTTTTCACCCAGTTTTGTGGCCACGACGCAGAATTGTCCATTGTTGAATAAGCGGCTTGTACTGCGGCAGAAGGCCGTACGTGATGCCACTAATCTTTGTGAAACCTCGACAAATCCATAGTATCTCCGTGGGCTGAAGAACGAGTGGGTCAAATAAAACGAGCAACGTACACAATCAATAATCACGAAAATACTTTTTTTTTTTTTACATATTTTAAAAGTCAAACTAGTACGCCCTCTGGTGACATTCACCTAAATTACTGCTACTCAATTATCTGCATGTTTTCTGCCCACTACTCGGCAATTCATGGGGGTACGTACTTGGAATGTGTTTAAAAAAAAAGCGTGTAGCGGCTACTTTAGTTAAGCCTGAGAGTTGAGCCTCGGTCTTTAGTATTGCATTTTATAAAGATTCATACTACATTTTATGTTAAAAAAGGGTAGAGAAATCACGCAATACGTAGAATACTTTATTCCATCACAATGTGTGAGAATTACATTCTTAGGTTAATCACTACAGTTTCATCTGAAATCACTATATACAATATAAACAGTAAATACACATCCATGTACAATAGCTCTGGTGAGCCGTTCACACAGTTCAGCCATACAGCAGTTTTCTCAGATGAATACAGAGCCTGTGATCTGGGAGTGTCATGATACAGCCTAACAGCACAAGCAAAGGTTTAGTGCAAAGTCTGTTAAATAGGCCTATAAATAAAATGGCTGACCTCATTGGCTTGCCACACAAAGGGTTATCATTTAGCTCGATACAGTGTGATATCACAATACATTTCTTCTACTTCAATTGTCAATCACACCCAAAAATGCCATATTTCATAAAAAAAAGTCTAAAAGGAATGTTCAAATCAGAGGAGACCTTAAAATAAACTTGGCCATGTCACTTATTACGTTATAAATGAAAAATGAACAGGATATTGTTCTGTGCAGATGTATTGTAGCTGATCAATATATTGGTGTCAAAATATATAAATATATAAATGTGGATGCAGCATGAGGCTGAGGTAGAGCTGCATAGCCATGTGTCACATGAACATAATCACCTGGAAAGACATTTACTTCAAATAATTTTACAATGTTTTTTTACATTTTCCCGCTGTGACAAGTAAAGTGAGTAAAGAACAGTAGCCTGTACCGAGTACCATCTTCAGACATCAGCAGCACATTCTTAACCAGGAGGCAGTTTGAGAGCTGGTATTTTTACTTACTCTGCAACATTGTAACTGGGCTGTATTTATAATTTGAGACTAAAGGTTCAAAACAAAATATATATATATTGAAGAAAAAAAAACTACCATAAAATATCTATTCAGTCACTTTGGTCAACCAAAAACTGCCACAATTTAAAAACTTAGTTTGTCAGTTAAAATGTTTTAAACAAAATCTATTGAGTATCTGATACTCAACAGATTTTTCTATTGTGACGTTTTACTTGGTACGTTTGTCCCCTATGATTTTAAATAGAATTGAGTACTTATTCCACCATAAGAAAGCCTTTCATACTTTTGTAACAGTCTTAAACAACATGATTATGTTGCTTCCATTGTGTGAATTTCAGGTACTGTACCAGTTATTGAACAATTGCAAATAAATAATTAATTTTCCGCTTTTAAAACCAGAAGAGAAACCAGGGCATGTACAACATATAATGAAAGATGAGGGGTTTGGGCAAATGTTCCTGCTAAGGGGGTACTTTGTACTGTCCATTACTACACCCAGACACATTGTAAGTGTTCAGCTTTTTCACACTCATCCCACATAAGTCCATGATCAGCAGAGCAATGAGCTCGCATCTCTCAGTCACAAGTCTGTCACTTTGTTTTCCACTGCTGCAGCAATCTGCTGCAGTCGGTATCCCAGCTGCATCTTTTGGGCTGTGGGGTCCTCCTCTAGTGCCGTGATGATCTGAAGGGATTACACAAAAAGTTAATCTTCTAAGTTTGTCCATATCATTATATTCAGTGCCATAGCCCGGTATTACTTATATTATTACTTTAAAACTACACTTTCTCGACATTAAAAGGGTCATTATGTAGTATTTTATACATTATACATGAGATTTCAAACATCACTCTACGCAATGTAGTAGCGTAATATATTTAAAACACATCACGACTGTGGTTTTTCACTTTCCCAGCGCAGGATTTTGAGACAAAATTAATATAAGAACCCCAACAACTTCAGTCTTAGCTGTGTATGTTGGCAACTTCAGGCATAAGCTTGAAAAAGAGTCAATTTTTACCCAAAATCTTACGTAGTGAGGCGACAGTGGCTTAGTTGGTAGAGCATTGGCGTTTTATATAAAATAAACTCTATTGAAGTCTATCTTCCCTTAAACCTTGTGGCCTTTAGACCCTAAATCATAAAAATTCAGATTGAAAACAAATATCTAGTGTATTTTTAATCACTGTGGAGGGTCAATGTGACCCGGGATAGCACAAGGGTTAAATATGATTTTAGACACAGTGACAGGCACAAGGTTCTGGGTATTCAATAATGATAGTAATAATAAAATAACGTACCTGGTCGTAGTATTTATTGATGTACTTGTAGAGTTCATGCAGCGCCACCAGATAGTTGAGCTCTCCGGAGTAGTTCTGAAATAGTTGGCACACAGTTAGACGGTTTGCTTACTCACAGTAGACTGAAATAATATGAGACTGTGGACTGACCCTTGATAATTCCGCAAGAGCAGAGTTCATCTCCTGGTCACTGGCTGAGATTGTCTGCCTGATATCAGCATAGTACCTGTGTAGATTGACAAATGATTACAATATTCTAAAAAACATACATTTTAATAATTTACATTGTGTGTAAAATACCTTTCAACCATCTGCTTGTAACGCGGGATGTCTCTGGCATACAGCAGTTTGTTAATAGGAGAGTCCTAAGTCAATCAAATATAAAACGGAAAATGATTACATATTTTGGTTATTGAAACATCCATCCATCCATCCATCCATTATTCACATATTTGATTAAAGCATCTTACCCTTCCCAGTTTGTGCTCAGCTATTGTACAAGAATCCATGAATGTCTGAGCAATGACCGAGAGCACAGCATCCACGTGGTCTGAAGCTTGAACGTCAAATATGAACTGAGGGTTTTTTACAATATTGATCCAGAAACGGAGCGGCAGACTGAAAAAGTAAAGCAGAAATGAATAGGATCTCTCTGTCTCTCTCCATCAGTGTACTTATGTTAGCGCACCTGTTGGTCTTCCAGATGTGGATCGTCTCTGGGTCTGTAATGCCATGCTGCCCTGCCTGGTCATCCAATAGGTCAAAAAAATACTTGACAGCCAGGGGAACCGGGCGACTGGTGCTAAGAATCACCATGAAGAGATCGTCCACAAACTTTTGCAAGGTTCCCTAAAAACACAAATGGGAAAAGTTATAAAGAAGAAAATAGGATGCATCATTTTTGGCCATTCAAAAAAGTTAAGGAGACCATTTACTTTTCATGTTTTAGAATGAGAAATGATATCTTAAAGGGTATGTCTACAACTTCTTCTGTATTTCATTTAAAAAATACATGTTTGATCATATGTCTCTGTAGTATCATCAATATTATTATTTTTCTTAATAAAGACATTAAAAAAGGTCCCTCCCCTTGGAATAAGCATCACCAGAATAGATTTGCTAGAGGAGATGGTGAGAGGCCTCCGTTGTCCGGGTCTAACTAGCCACTCGTATTCAAAAAACCTCACTCCATCTTATAAGTAACTGACCTTGGCTTTGAGAAGATGTAGGGTGAAACAAGTATTAAGGGTAAAAAATGTCATAGCGGTGACATTACATTGTTGATTATGCGTTATACATTATACTGTACCGTTCTTGTGATTCTTACCTTCATGGACAGCAGCCTGGTGAGGTAGATCTCTGGGATGGCTTTGGCCCGCTCCCTCTCCCTCATGCTGCCTCTGCGGTGCTTTGGCAGCTCCGGCTCCTCGCTGGCTTTAACCAGGTGCCATAATCTCACACCACCTTCATCTGCGTCCTCCAGCATAGGAGTTTCTGTGAGAGGTTTCAGAAATACATTCAAAATAATAGGTATTTTTCATGTGTTAAAGTAGGCCTCTCACAATACTATAAGATTGATGAAATAATACAATTTGAGGTTCAATATTTATCATCTGAATATTTCCTTCTGCAGTTTTACATTTTTATTTCTATTTATTTAATTTCAATCATGCACAAGATATACAACCACTTATTCACAGAGAAAAAAGCATATCTTGTATATTTTCCTTGCTATACTAATATGTTTTTTCTACCATTTATTCTCACAGCCAGTTCTTTTAATGAGAAACTGAAGAGGTAATTTACTTGGATTATGCTGCAAAATTGAGTGAAAATGTACATGTAAGTGTGGCGTATTAAGGGGAAGTTGTTGATAGTCATTGAAGAATTCCATGTGTGTTACGTTTCAAATGCTCATAACAGCAGCCGTTTATCATCAGTCGTCTCCATGTTAGTACTCACTTTCTCCAGCTACGTATTCGTGGTTGTCATGGTGAATGTGTTTGGTGTGGCGGGGAATGAGTGCGACGGTTGCACCATCTGGGACCTGTGGAGCAATAATCAGTCGATAATTGTATAAAATGCATTTGCTTAATGTATAACATATTCTTGACTGCTGGGACTGACCTTATAATGCTGCAAAGTGTTGAGGCGTTTCCAGTTGCCTTGTACCACTGACGTCAAGTCCTCGTCTGACAGGATCAGGTGTCCCGCCACCCCGGACCGCCACTCTGGTTTACAAGTAAGTAAGTAAGTAAGTAATCTTTATTTATACACCGCCTTTCACAGACCAGAGTCACAAAGCGATTTACAATTGTTATTTTTTGGGCACTTGTCCTCTCACTCCACACAGAGATGGGAACAGGGTCGCGTGTACAGGAGGCGCATGCCAGACCTATTGTACATATTTTTAGTGGTAGGGGAAACCGGAGTACCCGGAGGAAACCTACGCAGACACGGGGAGAACATGCAAACTCCACTCAGAAAGGCCCTGGTCCGACTGGGATTAGAACCCAGGACCTTCTTGCTGAGAGGCGAGAGTGCTATCCACACAGGAAATATTCAATCATATTTAATAATCGTACATGGGACAGTACTTTGCCCATTTTCATTCTTGAGAATCAGATAAGAAGTGTTTATAGCACCTTAATTTCAAATTTTTTTGTTTTTGTTTTTTTTACTGCAAAAGGCAAATAAACTTTGAAGAGTTTTAACTTAAGATTTTACAACTTGTTTTATCTTTTCTTACTTTTAAAGCCAAATATCTTAACTTTCTACCCCTAATATTCTAATATGATTTGTTAGTTTGCATGGTGACACAAAAAAGTAACGACTTACTAACTTACGTTAGTAAGTCGTTAGCCATGCTTCTCAGTTAATACATACTGTATATTGGTTATCTCAAGTTGAGAGAAACCATTTGGCTTAAGTTCTACTTGTTTTGCTCATTGTCATATTCTCTGTCATTACGAAACAATCTCTGCAACAGAATAATGTTGTTTGTGTGAATCAAAACCAATGCTTAATGTCTCACATAAATATAATGTCCACAAATATCTCAAGGAAAATGCATTTGACTTTTTATTTGTTTACTCCCGTACATACAAACAAACGCTTATATAGGGTAATGATTTTGATAATGAGATTAAACCTTTATTTAAGCACTCAAGACTAGTACTTTTGACAAACATTTTCACCCGCCTTGATGTGGGCTTAGTAAATAAATACAGAAAAATTGTGTTACTGTACTTGAATCTCAACTGTTATTGGTATGTTAGAACACACCTCATATTAATTTAAAACATATACGCTCATTTTCATCGGTATCACACACACAACACCACCCATGAAGCTTCATACCCAAGTCCAGAGAGTCTGCATGTGGCCGGTGTGAGAAGGACGTGCCCTTAAAGACCTGGTCCAGGATCTTCTCTTTGACTTGAGTGATGGTGTCGCAGTCCAGCACTTTGGAGGTGAGAGGCTGACTGTCCGTGAGCCCGCTCCCCTGAACCTCCACATTCAGCGTCTGCAGCAGAACACAGGGATGAGCAGAGGTATGTCAACACAACATTTGCCACACCGTACCAGGGTTTTGTACTCCACGTCTTCTCTTAGCAACCGGTTGTCATTCAGCGTATATTTGGCCTTCCCTGTCACCGCGTCCACTGGTCCTTTGTCCACTTGGTGTTTTATGGCCCGGAACAACATGTACAATGGTTCTCCTGCTGAATCCTGTGCGTAGAAGAAAGGTGAGGGAGGTGAAAGGAGCCGCTACACCACATGCTGGTGAGATTAACGAACAGAAAAGAGTGTAGTAAGTTACATGTCAGTAAAAAAGGCCAGAAAAAAGAAAACAACTGTTAATCTGTTGTGCAAAGGGGAGACCAGGATTTACCTCCAACCATGAGATAAGAGATTATATCGCTATTGTCTGAGAACAGTACTTGCTGAACTATCAAGCGCACCTTTATATAAACAGTACCAGCTACATTTTAAAATAAATGTATCTTTGTACACAAATAGGCTGCACTTTTCATGTTGTAATGTAACACTTGTAATGTTGTAATCTCACAACATGATTTAAAGGACAACTCACCCTCAAATCCACTTTTTTTGCTGATAAACGGTATAAATGAGTGTCCAATAGTGTTGTCTACATATCCTGGTCATAATTTTGTCACTTTGGTGCAAATTAGTTGAAAGTTAAACTTTCTGCCTAAAACCGTCTGTGAGGCGCCATCTGCTGGCGACCTGTATTACTACATTTGAATTTTGAATCTGGCGCCAACACTGGCACAGAAGTTGGACCTGACGTCTGCAAGTTGGACCTGACGTCAGCAGCCCCCCGCCCAGAGCAATGTAAACGGCCCAGTCTCGTTCACGCCCCCTTCAGTCCTCCAGGCTACGCCCATTTAGAGGAAGATTTGAACAGGAAATGTGAGTGACGTAAGCTCCGAGGAGCGGGGGTGAGAACCACTTTAACGATGTGTTTTAACTCGCTGTTGACTCAAGAGGATCAAAGCACAAGTCAACAATCTAATCTCTTTTTACACTAAACATATGTCCAATTCCCCCTAAAACTTAAAAGTCAAAGAATAAGTCCATAAACTCTCACTATAGTTCTAATCATAAAGAAACAAGTCCTGTCTCTCCCCCGGCACTTCCTTGTGGTGGCTCTTTCTGCTGTTCACCTAAATACACAAGAAGAGGGAATGTGTGCTTCATCAACTTCTGACATCTGCAGCTGATAGAACAATGTCTAAATCCGTTCCTGTACTCCGGCGGCGTGCTAACAAAATTAAATTACATAAATTGACCGCATGGCTATTTAAGCCAGAGTTCACAGAAGTTGAAAAAAAGTAGCGGCTTAAAGTCCAGCAAGCAGTGTAATACAGTAGGAACATGTACTAGTTACTGGAGCATTGTGATTCAAGTCACCCACAAAATAGGTGATGGAGCAAGACTGACCCTCAGGAAAGTGTATAAGCAGATTGACATCCAGTTGGTGAGCAGCTTTTCCACGACAGTCTCGGTCCTATAAATACAACAATATAAATCAGTGTTATACGTAAAAATTAATCTTAGCTTATTAGCAATTGGCACATCCAATCCAAAATACTCTACATAGTCATAAAAGTAAGGAGAAAAATACATAAACAAGCCTAAAAGATAACATTATAATGCAATAAAGTGCTGGATCAAAGTGCATTATTCAACCTGACAACAGGACGTGGAAAGAATCCGTTTGAGTGACGAGCCTTGCATTTTAAGAAGCTGGGAAATGGCTCTCCCAGGGCGGCCAGAGGGTTATAAATGATTTGCAGAGTTCCATTTAAGAGTCCACACATTCATCAAGAACAGAACAGGCAGTTCTCAGTCCTTTTAGCGGACCACTTTGTTCAGAGCTCCTCTTTCTTTGACTGCCACGTTGCCAAACCAGTCTCAGAACCAACATGAGAAACATTAAGATTTTGAGTTAATTGCGAGCTGTCCAAGTTTCCACTGAACGATAAAACACTGATAAACGTTCTCAACAATAGCTTGTGTTTGTCTCCCATCTCAAGTTATTTCACAAAGTAAGTACCCTTTTGTAGAGTGCACTGACCTTCGAAGCATCAGTTTGGGGTTTTTGGCCACATACTGGTCCACCAGGTCATTCAGGAGGGTCTTCAGGATGTCGGTGAAGTACTCCAGCTTGCCGTGAAGGGACACCGTCAGTAGAGATGCCACATAAGCTCGATCCCTGGGCGAGAATGTGCGCTGGCTTTCCAGAGTATGAATAAACTATATAGTAGAGAAAACAGGCAATAAATGTATATCTCTGCAAATGTGGTTTCACCTTTATTCTATAAGTTTGTGTAAGCTCTCAGTCGTACAAGGATAAGTAGGGTGAGAAACCTTCCTTTGCTTTGACCTTTATTCTATGTGGTGTTTTTGAATGACATTCAGATCAAAAAGAATGGTCATCTCATATACAATGTGTGCAATGTTAATGGTACCTTTGTGAGGAAGAGCTTGCTGTTGAGCAAATTGGACAGCTGCACCAGACCCTGCTCCACAGTCTGCCTTCGACACTCCTGGACATCCAAGTCCCGTCGCAGTGGGGACTCCCGGTGGCCAGGGAAGAAAATGCGCTCTGCATATCTGCGGTAGTCGAGGAAGGGGATCCCCGAACCCACCAAATCACTGGACATGTCCATCATTTCTGTCATCAAGTCTGGAAGGAGTCAAGACAATGTTAGATGTTTGTTTCGATTCGCCAACAACAGATCAGAGAATCAAACCATTCAAACACAGGAATGGCAACATATTGGATCCATTGGTACATAGGGTAGCGGAATGACTAATGTCCACAAATGTCCTACCAGGTCAAATTGACCCGGCATAGTGATAAAGAGATACGCTAAATCATTTTTCTATTCAAGCTGAATTTGAATGATTTTTGATCATTTAGACCAGGGGTGTCAAACCGGTCCTCAAAGGGCCGGTGTGGCTGCAGGTTTTAGTTCCAACCTTACCAGGAGAACACCAGACTCCACCCATTTCCTCAGGTGAGACCATTTTTCACCTTAAGATTTGAGGAAATGGGTGGAGTCTGGTGTGCTCCTGCTCAAGTTGGAACTAAAACCTGCAGCCACACCGGCCCTTTCTGGAACCGGTTTGACACCCCTGATTTAGACCCTTTCAGACCCTAATATAAGGTCTAAAAGGATCAACTTTCAATTACTGTGATGCTTAAATTGGACCCGAGGGTAGAACTTTCTGTGTTTGCATGTTCTTCTCATATCTGCGGTTTTCCCTACCACTACAAAACATGTACAATAGGTGAGGGTTGAGTGTTTGTGAGTGTGGCTGTGGGACTACAGATGCAAATTAGCTACTTAGCTACAATCTGGTGTAGTTACAGCTCCTGCTGTTCATGAATACGCACTGTCCCATCCAAATAAACAATTAAATCATTTTCCCAGATCATTATAGTCTTTAGACCGTCCAACAGCAAGTTACAACTCAAAAAACCCCTCATGTATTGCCCACCTGAAAACATCTTACTGAAAATATAGATTAATTAATTTAACTACTATTTAATTTACATGCGTCACATGTAAACCTTTCAGGAGGGCCTTTGATTCAAACAATTATATCTTATCAAAAACAGAACATGGGCTTTCCCCCCAAAACTCAGTTCCACACACACCAGTTTTAGATTAAGATGAGATCCTTTATTAGTCCAGCAGTGGGAAAATTTTTGTTTAAAAACCATTATTTACATTCAAGGCTTCAACCTCTGCAATCTTAGTAAGCCATCCACTTCTATTTATTGTTTGAATGAAAAAGCATTTACCAAGAATGACGGCTAATCATTTATCCAAGTTAGGCAAAAACGAATGTTTCTTTGTTCGTGATAAACGATTAACTACAGAAGGACAAAAGACTTCTTTATACTCACCTGTGTATGGCCAGAGTACCAGACAGTATTTGTACTTGATACCAAATACAAGAATTGTAAAATAAATAAATAATTCACTTGGGTTTACCTGTGAACTCCTTCTTGCAGCGGTCTCTCACACTTGTCTCCAGGTTCTCCAGTTGAATCTGGACTTTCTTGTAATCCCTCAGGGCCTGCTTACTTTTTCTCCTGAAATAAAACATTTGAGTGAACACTAGAGTCCAAAAGAGTAGGCTATATTTATATTTTGTGGAAACATTATGTAAAGTGACCTGTAGATGAGGACAATAATGAGGACAATTAGGGCTACAATTGAAGCTCCCACTCCTACTCCGATCTGGGCCTCTAGTGGAAACGTGGCTAGGCTGGGGTTGTCGTACTGCACTTTGCCAAGGGAGAAGTTTAGGTTTCCCATCCGAACCTGAAAGGCACGTTTGTCATTACATACATCCTAAAACACAGACAAAGCCTATTGGGTCTAACTCACAATGAACTCAGGCAGGCTGTCAGACCCCTCTCGTTTGTTCCCGTTGGCAGCAGGAGCAGGCTGCTGAGGAGGAGGCTCGCAGTACAGATGGTTCTTGGTCAAAGTCTTCACTGCACACACTCCATCTCCCATCTCCACCAACACCTCATCTTTTGTCATGGCTAGGTCAAGGTTTTCCCCCTGTGGACAGGACAACATCTTTTACTCTGAGGTGTGGCAGGCAAAGTAGTACATGAATTGGTTTTGATTCAAACCTCCAGTTGAATAAAGCTGCCAGGATTGTAGCGGTAGACCTTCAGTCGGTCTTGCTGGTTAAGGGGCTGCAGAATGGGATTGGGTTCATACCTAAACGGCTGGTTGTTCAAAGTGCTAAAGTCAAAACTGAGGTTATCCAAGTGAAACTCCACTCTGACCTCTGCCCCCTGCACAGGGGAGTCTACCACAGGAGAATGGCACAGGATGAGAGAGGAGGAGTTTACCTCACAGGGACCCACAAACTGGAAACACAAAACAAATTGAGACATTGATGCTAAATAGTTACCACAGAATAATAAAACCAATATTGTCAGATCCACAGACCTGTTTGAAGTCAGGCTCACTCGTGCCTTTCCGCCCACTTCTCCTCCTTCTGCTCTTAGCTTTAGTCGAGAGAATAGGAGGCTCCAACAGAGAGATGGTGACCACCATGCGCGGCCACTGAACCACATCAAGGTTGTAGCCATACACATAGATCAGCCGCCCGCCACTAGAACAACACAATAAATGTATTCATGACATTTTGCTTGCTTCATGATTTAAGGTATTATCAATTATTGTGCATTTCGGCACAGCCGTTCTTACCCCATGAAGCTGTTTGCTGGTGAGGAGTGGGTAATGTTGGGATTGGGGGTGTAGAGGTAGTTTGTGGAGTGAAGGTGGCGCAGACTGTGGCCATAATGCAGAGAGAGCCGATGTTCTCCAATCTCTTTACTGGGGCCTGTCTCACACAGAAGACTGGACATGTGCACCTCTGACACTCTGCACAATGTCCAGATAAAGAAATCGTTTATATGAAGATGGAACTGGAGAAAGCGTCGATAGCGAGTCCCAGAAGACTTACATGTCACAGAGCACTTTTCCTATTGTGATGGTGAGATCTGCAGGACGCCCTGTGAGCAAGTTTAGTCCAGTAATGTTTAGAATAGTTCCACCAGCCTTAGGGCCTCTTACAGGTGATACACCCATAACAAATGGGTCCTAAAGGTAGCAGAAAACATTTCAAAAAATTATTATCTAATATGACATTAACAATACTTAGTAACTGTGCTCTGGAGTCTGCATCATTTTAATTGTAGTTACCTGATAACTGAAGATTTGGATGGAGCGGCCAAACTCCCCTCCGCTCACAGTCACAGACACATGGCCTGTAGTTTCTCCTCCACTGGCCCTGGTTTTACATACAATCCTGCCCAAACGACATAGTTTGATGCTCAGTTAAACTGAGTCAACCTAGAATACCATGTTTCTACCAATTGTAATACATATATTTAGTGTTGCATTTGTTTCTTTCTGTACCTGGAAGAGACCTCATAGAGACTCGGGATGACAGTGCAGGGAACCCCAGCCACCAACACGGAGTGGAGAATGTCTTCTGGCTTCTGTCCCAGATTAGAGCCAGTTATGGTGACCATGGTTCCTCCCTCCAACAGTCCAGACAGTGGTTCAATCTGCATCATAACAAATACCAATTATCAGGTTCAGTTGTGTTCCATTCAATTCTAGAGAAGCAGGATTTCTTACTGAGTGAATGACCGGTGCGGGACACGTCTTCACTCCATGTTGGCTGCAGGTGTCAGAGTACACACAGCTGGCCTGAGCGCCCCCACACCACACACAGCCGTACTTCTGATCCGCAGTGTGGCAGCGGCTGCAGTCCAAGCGCCCCACCGAGCAATTGTACAGCGTCACTGAGAAAGCACAGGGCGGATGTTAGCCTTGATATTACTCATTCAAAAACTAAAACTAACAGTTTTCTAGTTTTTCTCACATTTGATATTAGTCCCCAAACATTTTTGGGACATCTATACTCACCGTATATATCTGCAGTGCTGTCCACATGAAACGTGTCCCGCCTTTTCACATAAACCATGGCATTATACTCCTCCAACTGGGCTGAGTATTCGTACTGGCAAACACATTATTGATTAGAGATTATAGCAGTACAAAATGAACCCAGATTTCCAAATAGTTTTGCATTACAGCCATAATATAGAAAACAATTTTATTTACATGCTTTATTATGAGTTGAACCAAATGAACCAAGAGTGTGGGAAGGACAGTGCATCCCAATAGGGCTGGAAAGCGGAAGTACGAGATTTTGCGAGATTTCCACCCGCGGATACAAACAAACCACACGTGCCACTTGTATGGTGCTGAGATCGCCGAATTCTTCCTCCTTAAAGGACTTTCCTGTGTTATTTTGGACACATTTCATCTCTCGGACAGAAAAACTGAGTGAGTGGTCGGAATTAGCTGTGAACTGACCATGTCCTGAAGTTTATATGACGGGGAGATGAGAAAGGTGCAGGGCCGTGTTCAAACTTATTGTTTTTTAATCCACTATTATGCATCAGAAAGACAATATAGAAACACTATTCCATGCAAATACATTGATGTCCCTTACAGCTAGCTTTGCTGCGTTGGTTATGAGCCAATATTATGAATGATATGTTTTCTATCTGTACATTAGCTCCATCTTCACTTCACACTCACTGCAGCTTCACATTGGGCCTTTTTTCTTTTTGCTGTGCTGTCAAAAATAACATGATGTAGTTGGGTTACCTATTCATTTACTACTAATATTATGATTGTCTGTTTTCTGTTATATTTGAACATTTGTTAAATATTATTTAATATGTGCTAATATGTTCCTCCTTAATCTCTCAAATAAATAAATGAATACATTTATCCTGTGTGACAACAATAAAGTTAATCTTCTCTTAAAATACAAGCCACAATGAAAGGCTCGCCGCGCGCTACAGGTTAGCATTAGCTACAAGTTAGCTTGAATACATATTCAAGTTAACCATCTGTAAAATCAGACAAAATGTTTTATCACAACTGCATAGCTTTTTACACAGCTTCAGTTGGTCTTTGGGAAACTTAAAAAATGAGCATGCTTCATGTAAACTTTGATGATAACAGCCAAAAACAAAGCAGAGCATTTTGCACCATTCACTTAAACCGCCTCTTCAAACAGCTGGCGGTTTGTTTGTATCCGAGCAATGAACCGGAAGTGCTTCTGGGACGAGACTTTCCAGCCCTATATGACTTTAACCCTTCATAGAACAATTACCTCGTGCAGCTGGCAGGTGATGTCAAAGTTTGATGGGTTGATGTCGTCCATCTCCACATAGGCGTCTACCACCACAGTCTGACCCTCGATCACCAACACACACTGGTAGTCCAGCTCAGAGTCCTGTTCACATACACACACACACACACACACACATTTGCATCTTGCATCTATATGGTCATTCCTGGTTAATAAAAGGGTTAGCAGACGTGCTTCAGTCAGTTAACCCTAGGGCAGCTGTGGCTTCAATAGCAGCTTGCCACCATCACATATGGAAGAATGAATGATGTTGTGTAAAAGTCAGGAAAGCCGCTACATACAGTTGTTTCAAAACGAAATATATCCACATTACCAGATTACGAATGATAACACAACAACCTTTTTTCATTCATTGTTAGTTGTTGTATGGAGCAATGTATTGTTGAATAAATGTGTTTTCTATTTTCAAAGTATAACGACAGAAATGACCCCGAGTTCTCAATAGCGTGCATTGCCTATTCAATGTGTCTTTTGTGGTAGTTGTGGATGAGGTTCTTTTTCCATTCTTCTTGGCAAAAAGCCTCCAGTTTCTGTACATCCCCAGACTGCCAGACTCACTATCTCCCCAGAGTGGGTAATTTATCTTATAATGAGGAAAACATGTTGTTATCATTCATAATCTCCAAAATAATGTAATTCCTGCCTGGGTGTGTAAACTGTAAATGCTATACTTACACCATATTTACTCATTCTGAATAGTCAATACAAAAGTTTAAAAAATGCGAACTAGGAAAATGTTTAGCAGTATGTAAGTATGACTGAAGAAACTATGGCAACTGCTTTTGTAATCCCAGTCCAAAACATATACCGTTATTTACCTGATACAGGTGCAGGTTGTGGGCCAGAAGTGTGATCTTCCGCTTGACTCTGACAGGCAGCAGGGAGGAGCCCTGGATCTTCTCCACACAAGGACATGCAGAAGCCCCCCAGCTCACGTAAGACCCCTCGTCTCCCTGGAACACAACAGCGAATGAGGACACTGCCAAACTCTGCTCCTTCCTTCATCTTAAATCAAAGCCCAGACGCAAGAGTGCTTTTGAGCAGAGTAGTAGATTGTGAGGCCCACTGACCACTTGCAAACAGAGATGTCATTACCAGCTCGATTTGACAAACATCCACACATCCTTACTCACTGATAATTCTGAAAGATCCATATGACGGGATGTAAAATATCCCCATAGCCTGTTCAGTACATCATTGATAATCTGCTTCTCAAACTTTTTGGCCTTGTCCGCCTTTGAAATGGCACTTTCATAACCTGAACAATACCGATCAGAAGCAGGACAAACAAAGCATTTCTGGTTTTATGAGCAATTCATGTGCCTTACATTATATAATATTTATTAAAGCTGGGGTACCTATGTTTGAAACGACATGTAGTAAAATACATGTAACTAATTCATAGCTCTCAAAACTGTTTGGTAAAAAGTTTTTTTTTTTGCCTCATCCTTAGATCAGCTTTTCAGAAAAAAAGGGGGAAAAAACACCCTAACTCAGCCAATCAGCTCTCAGTATGAAAATTATATATTTTTAAAATCTAACAGAAAGAGACAGCATGTTGTTGTTTGCCACTCGTTTGTGAAACAAATATGTTCAGTTCTCTAGCTTTACGTATTAAGCCTCTCGCTCTGCTCTAACATGCTTAGCCTCAATTAGAGAAAACTGCTGTCAATTAAAAGTTGAATAATGAAAATTCACAGAATACCTGAAACACGTATTAGCCACTGCCCTCCATTAGACTAAATCTGAAAACCACTGACTCTTCTTTACTATAGTACTATATCAAGGGGTGAAAACATTGGGACAGTGAGGATAGTATGAAAAATGGATGTGAACTCACAGGGAGATAGCCCTCGTCTGGATCATACTGATAGTCCGGCTCAGAGACCGAGTCCTGGAGCAGAGGGGAGGGTGGTGGTGGGGTATTCTCCATCTCACCGTCTCCTGACAAGACTGTCCCAGCAGAAAATGTTGCATTGTCATTTTCAAGCTGCTTTATTTGGTCGCCTGGTTCATCCTGTTCTTTTGGCGTCTCCGGCACTTCAGGGATTTCAGTTGGAAGAGGAGGAGGAGGAGGAGGAAGGACGCTCGTTTGGAACTCTAAAGGCGCCACATCCTCTGTAGTTTCGGCAACAAAGAAGGCCGTGGGTAGAAAAACACCATTTGAGTCGAGCGTGGGTGGTGCAGTAACATCGTGGATAGTAACTAATGTCTGTTCTGAAATCGCCTTCTGGGACACAGTGTCTGGTTCAGTTTGGGGGATCACCAAAGGCATGACTTTCTCCAAATCTCCGCTTTGAACATCAGCCTGAGTAACTGGAACTAAACCAGGACTTTCTTTTGTGACCGTAGTTTCTTCTTCAGTTGCTCCTTCTGTAACAGGTACAGTGGGGGGAAGGGCACTAGCCTGGGTGCTCTCTGCTGTAGTAATGGGAGCCTCTGGTGTAGTAGTAGTAGTAGTAGTAACTGCAGTAGTGGGGACAACAAAAGGAGTGGTGGTAGTTGTAAAGGTGGTGGTAGGAGGTAGAGTGGTGGATATGGGAGCTGTGGTGGTCCTCACAACAGTTACTTTAGTTGTGGCGGTTGTGGGCGTCACGTCTGTGGTGATGATCTCCAGGGCTTTGGAAGTGGGAGGAGGAGATGTGGGGAGTTTGAACTGGGGGTGAGGCGACAATGGGACAGATTAGGAGCGAATGTGACACAAATAACTGAAAAATGAATAAATATGGAAAAAAAAAGCATGCAATATGTGTTGTAGTCGGGTTGATTATGGTAAAGCCATGACATTGAACTAAATAGGAGCAAAGGCATCCTGTGAATGCATTTCTCAAATTAAGCCTGAATAGTTTTATAATTGGCCCCTTTTGTCCAGTGATGTCTCTTAAGTTGACAGTGCTCAAAGGTTTCCTCCAGTAACGCAAACGTAACACATTTTTAACATCTGATCTGATACAATATGCATTTGGATGATAATTACCTAATTTCAAGTTCCATATCTTGAACAATGCATCAGTCATCATTGCTTCTTTTCATATCTCGGTCTTACACAAATTGATAACTATTGCATATAAACCCTATGTAACTCTAATTCTGGAAGTCAGCAGGTGCGGTTTATATACAGGTGCACTTAATACTCCAGCAAATACTGTAGTTTCAGTTTTCAAGCATACAGTAGTAGCCTAAATTTTATGATTTTTTTAATAGGCCTCATTCAAAACTTGTACTTTAAACATTGATTTTGATTGGGAATAGTTTCATAACCAGTTGATGTTAGAGATTCTACAGTGAGGATGAATGCAGAGGGACTTACATGCTGATTGTAAATGATGACTCCGTCTTCGCAGGCAGGTTTGTGAGTGCACATGTGCTGATGGACGCACCAGTTACAGCCCCAGCGGCTCAGGACACACCCCCGACAGCTGCACAGGGAGAGCATACATTAATCCAATCCAACAACATCGAAGGCAAAAGCAGGTGTTAAATTTAGAAAACCCAAAGACAATTTGTTTTTTTACGAGCGACATTACACAAAGGACAAATTGGATTAAAAGTTCTTACGGCATGCTCCCGGAGAGCTGCTTCACTGCTTCACAGTCGAAGATTGAAAAGTCCCTCTCTGTCACAGTCACATTCCCAAAACGCAGCGACAACACCACTTTGACAAAATCTGGAAAGAAAACCAAGTTAACATTGGTTGCGAGAGATTGTGAATGAGATTTTTCAAGAGGTTTGACAATATTATGCATTAAATCTTCAAGTGAAATGCACCTTGTCCTGGAGCCACCGCAGGCACTCTGCTGGGGTGTGGGGAGCGACAGGAGACGCCTGTGGAGCTGACAGCAGCAGGACTTTCACTGTTCTGGAAAAAACAGGTGTAGGACTCTCCATGCTCCAACACTGGGAGACCAGGCACAAAGAGGGATATCTGAAGCAAAGGATGAGATAGATACTTTATTGATCTTCCGTTGGAGAAATTCAGGTTTCCAGCAATGGAGCTGCAAAGTTTAAGGTTCCTCATTCATAAGTGACTTTGAAAAATATTAGTAAGAGTTTCTTTTTCAACTGTAAAATATTGAAAACTTATCTATTTAGGATAAATACTTTTAAGTAAAAACAGATTTGATATAGGCATTTCTCAAAACTCCCATTGGGAATTGTATATCCGGTACCTAAAGCTCCTCCCACTTCACAGCTCAAGACATGCCATTTGAATTGTGGTTTCAGATCGATCTCATTATTCATCTTGCAGCTCTCTTACATTAGAATGTTTTTTCCCCTTTACAATCCCCAAACTCTATTGGCATTGTAAATGTGCCAATATGCACACCAACATTGCAGCTGAGATGCACTCACTGTGTGACTCTCGTCCTTGCTGACATTAGCCGGGCTGAGCTCTTGAATGGACAGACATTGCTGCTCCATGTCAAAACTCCAAAGCCACTGTCCAGGCTTCTGTCCACGAGCGCACTCCGATTGCAACATGCACCTAACAAAGGAAAACGTTTAGAATTAGACTCAGAAACACTCTTACTCATGAGGAAACGGCATTTGTTTCACAAGACAAATAGGAAGAAATCACTGCAGCTTTATTTTAGACCAGACCAGAACGCTTTTGGTTGGAGCAGCAGAGTTGTGTTGAAATGTTTAGCCTATTAACACGCTGTAGAAAACAACTCCAGCTATGATTTTGATTGCAGAAAAAAACACTTTGTCATGTTATTAAAAGTTGAACAGTATAAGTAGATTCAGCAAAACATGTTTTTAAGATAAAATTGAATAGATCCTTTTGGTAGTGCTGCTGCTAAGTAAATGCACATGTAATACATATTTCAGCCAACAGATGTCGCTGCTCTCCACGTTGTCAACACAGTGCTCAAGTAAAAACAGGCTTTACTTTATGACCTCATAATCACCTACTCCATTTCTCAGAAGTCAAAAACACATGTATTTCTTGTTTTCATTTTTATAAAAAGACCAAAGTCAGACAACCACCTGTGCCATTGTGCCAATGTTTCCATTTTATGAATGGGGCTATATCCATGTAGTATTATTACACATTTTGGAATACTTGTGAACTGTTGGACAAAGCTATAAAACCGGGATGCGTGAACGTTTAGCTCAAGCCCCAATTTTAAGTTATGAATTCATTTTTCTTCTTTTGTCTGGTCTTGAATAAGCTCTTACTTTTGAAACATCTGCCTTTGTGTCTTTGCAACAACATTTTACTGTTGTCTCAGTAAAATAACTTCACAAAAAAATATATCAAACTGATTCTAATAAATCACGCTTAAAGCAGTTTCAAACCAGAATTAGAATCCTGTTTATTGCCGTTCTAAGTAACAGGAAGTCACAAACTTGGACCCTCTTTGGTATGTGGTGCAAACATGTTGGATAAAAAAGTTAAAAATAGATATAAACCTTTTCATAAAAAATCTTAATACATTTCGAATATAAAAAAATACACAGACATTTATGTATAAAGTAAAAAGCCCCTGAGCATTCATCCGCATGTTTTAATGCTTTCATCTATTTTAGTGGGAGTGAGTGTGCGTAACAATGTGTTGAAGTGTGTGGATGTTGGGTCATTGTGGGATTATTTTATTTTGATTCATAGATTTTAACTACTGCCCATGTTGTAGTGATCCTCACCTTCCCTGCAGGATGCACCAGCCGCAGTACGGGTCATGGGCCAGCACACAGGAGTGACAGTCCTCATGCCTCCAGCACTCTGCCACCGGCCTCTTCTGCAGCTGGAACCAGGTCAAAACCAGCATCACCACACCATCACTCGGTTATATTCAGCCAGAACGCACACACACGCACGCACGCTAAGCTCTGCAAAATCTGATTATGAAGAATAGGTGCCCCATTTTTCCCCACAGCAACAATAGCCACTAACTGAAGTCATTAGAATAATCCGGGGTTATTGCCGCTGCTCTGTCTCATTAAGGGAGGGATGGGGGGCACTTCTGGAATGTGTTTGTGATCTTTGCGAATGCAGAAACAAAGCCAGGTTCTAGAGGGTAACATTCAGGAACATATGAGGACAACTCAATAGCTGCAACATTGCATACTATTCGGTATTGCCAAGATTGATTTTAACTTGTAACAAACGGACACAATATTGACTCTGCAACTAACAACCTAGCACATACTTTATAGCACATAAAGTATTCGGCCCCATTGAACCTTTCAACATTTCGCCACATTTCAGGCTTCAAACATAAAGATATACAAATTTATTTTTTTGTCAAGAATCAACAACAAATGGGACACAATTGTGAAGTGGAACGAAATGTATTGGATAATTTAAACTTTTTTAACGAATAAAAAGCTGAAAAGTGGGGCGTGCAATATTATTCGGCCCCCTTGCGCTAATACTTTGTAGCGCCACCTTTTGCTGCAATTACAGCTGCAATCAGTTTTGCACATCGAGAGACTGGAATTCTTGCCCATTCTTCCTTGCAAAACAGCTCTAGCTCAGTGAGGTTGGATGGAGAGCGTTTGTGAACAGCAGTCTTCAGCTCTTTCCACAGATTCTCGATTGGATTCAGGTCTGGACTTTGACTTGGCCATTCTAACACCTGGATACCTTTATCTGTGAACCATTCCATTGTAGATTTGGCTTTATGTTTTGGATCATTGTCCTGTTGGAAAATAAATCTCCGTCCCAGTCTCAGGTTTTCTTCCAGAATGGTCCTGTATTTGGCTCCATCCATCTTCCCATCAATTTTAGCCATCTTCCCTGTCCCTGCTGAAGAAAAGCAGGCCCAAACCATGATGCTGCCACCACCATGTTTGACAGTGGGGATGGTGTGTTCAGGGTGATGAGCTGTGTGGCTTTTATACCAAACATATCGTTTTGCATTGTGGCCAAAAAGTTTGATTTTGGTTTCATCTGACCAGAGCACCTTCTTCCACATGTTTGGTGTGTCTCCCAGGTGGCTTGTGGCAAACTTTAAACGAGACTTTTTATGGATATCTTTGAGAAATGGCTTTCTTCTTGCCACTCTTCCATAAAGGCCAGATTTGTGCAGTGCACGACTGATTGTTGTCCTATGGACAGACTCTCCCACCTCAGCTGTAGTAATCTGCAGTTCATCCAGAGTGATCATGGGCCTCTTGGCTGCATCTCTGATCAGTCTTCTCCTTGTTTGAGATGAAAGTTTGGAGGAACGGCCGGGTCTTGGTAGATTTGCAGTGGTCTGATACTCCTTCCATTTCAATATAATTGCTTGCACAGTGCTCCTTGAGATGTTTAAAGCTTGGGAAATCTTTTTGTATCCAAATCCGACTTTAAACTTCTCCACAACAGTATCTCGGACCTGCCTGGTGTGTTCCTTTGTCTTCATGGTTCTCTCTGCGCTTTAAACAGAACCCTGAGACTATCAAAGAGCAGGTGCATTTATACGGAGACTTGATTACACACAGGTGCATTCTATTTATCATCATCAGTCATTTAGGACAACATTGGATCTTTCAAAGATCCTCACTGGACTTCTGGAGTGAGTTTGCTGCACTGAAAGTAAAGGGGCCGAATAATATTGCACGCCCCACTTTTCAGTTTATTTGTTAAAAAAGTTTAAATTATCCAATACATTTTGTTCCACTTAACGATTGTGTCCCACTTGTTGATTCATGACAAAGGGGGCCGAATACTTTCGCAAGGCACTGTAGCAGTCCCTTGCAGCTGTCTTGCTCTTTTTTGGCATAAGGTTTCCACTGATTACATTTGTTTATTTATTGTTTGTTAGGAAGAGATTAATTAATTTCAATGTAATTAAATCCTAAATCCTAATTGAATCCCTAATCACGGCCCTAAGTGTCCACAGACAACGGAGACTACTTTGTATGTACCAGAAATGCCAGACTATAAGCTGCGACTTCTTTCAAGTTCTTTGAGCACTGCAGCATGTACAACATGTGGTCAATGTATTTATATGTATCTGTATGTGGACAAATGCTACATTCTCTTAAAAATTTGCAGGCTTTCTGCAGAAGTTTGATGTGGGGCAGATAGACCCAGAACATGTATGAGAGATGGAGGTAATGAGTATTTAAAGAGCTCATGAACCAATTCTGTACTTTGGCACATAAAGGGTTAATTGTCTTTTCTTTATATGCAAACATGGAAATACAGGTGTTTTCTCACCTGTTGCTAATATAATACATTTTCTGGAAAAAATACAATTTCACAATCTGGAGTGAGAGGAAAAAGGCCCACAATAATTGTAAAGTGCTTTGTGATGGCTACAACTCAGAGACTGCTGGAGATTACTACAACAATTATGAATTCATCAAACTATGATGAACATTCTGAGCAACAACCAAAAGAAGGTGAATGAATGAAAGTACCATGTCCTGGGTCATGATGAAGAGGTGCTGCTCGGCCTGGTCCAGAATGAGGTCTGCGCTGATGGCCGTGTTCTGTTGGATGGAGATGACTGAGTATTCCTCCACTTCACCATTTGGACCCAAAAACACCTGAAACCAAAAGCAGGTCAGCAGGGCTGTAGCAGACCTACTGTATGTGTGACCACCCACAGACAAGCTAACTGATTAATCATTATAGCTACATATGAACACTGATTAAAACTATGTCATCAAAGAGACATATTCTGTTCCACTATGTACAGTCAGTTCAAAGCCTTAACGGATACTCATGGGAATAGGATCATTTTTAAGAAAAAAAACATGGATGCCAAAATATCCAGTGTTTTATTTGTACAAAGTCTGTTTTCTGTAGTTGTTTCAGAGTCTTATAATAATAACTTTTATTGAATATGAGTTTGGATGTATAAGGTGCACATTAATCCCCATAGGGCAATTCAATCCTCTGCATTTAACCCATCCTGATGCCGCGAAGGCATACGTCAGGAGCAGTGGTCGCCGTAGTAACAACGCCCGGAAACCCATCCCCAGATGTTGAGGCTCGGCTTGGTCAGGACTACCTAGTAGGATTTAACCTAGTGAGCATGTTTTTAGTGGTAGGGTTAGTACCCGGAGGAAACCTAGGCAGGCACGGGAAGAACATGCAAACTCCACTCAGAAAGACCCTGTTCCGACCGGGATTCAAACCCAGGACCTTCTTGCTGAGAGGCGAGAGTGCTATCCACTTAGTCACCGTGCCGCCTTTGATGTGGTCCCATCAAAGGCATTTGTCAGGCCACAGAAGAGGATAGTGATAAACTGCCTTTTATAAGGCCTTTTATAATACCCTCGCAATGCTTTCGAATTATAGATTTTGAAAATAAAGTGGGCGTGTCAAAGTGCTCAGAGGAGTAAGCGAGTCTCGTGAATAAGCAATTGTAAATATGCATGAATGGCTCATACAAAAACTTAAAAATAACAATGAATAAACAACTATAACAGTGCCTTTAACCAATATAGTCATTATTATCACAATCTGAAAGCATTTTTTGAAAGCGTACGTTAAATTCTGTACTCAGAATTTTGAAGTTTGTTATTATATTCATCTCATAATGAAAGGCCATTGTGTACTCTCGTGTCTTAGACTGTGGAGAGTGTAAGGGATGAGACCTTATGCAGATTTCCTTTGGAGTCTCCCAGGAAGGTGATGACATGTCCTGCCCTCACACTGACGGCCACAGCAGTGAGTCTGGCTGAGGGGCTGTCCAGGATGGTCTCCGCCTCCACAGGGATCTTACTGGCCATGGGACTTGGGGTGTGGTCCGAACCACATGGGTACGCCTCCAGGGTGTTCTGAGGAGCACAATGATCATGTTAATAAACTTGTTACATACTTTAAATGTTGTATAGAGGGTTGAGAATCTTTGAGAGCCTGGCGATACGATACACATCTACAGACAGACAGGGGAATTTCAATTCAATAAAATATTGTTCCAAATGATACCATACAGAAAAAAAAGCTATTGGCCTCTTTTCTAATACTCTATGCCATCATAAAAAACAACACTATTGATATTGATTTGTTGAAGATAAAATGTTATTACATAAAAAGGGAAATATCTAATATCTTACTGAATAAAAACATATTGACATTTCTTTCAAATATATATGTATAACTAAAATCATGGTTTTGACACACCCCTATTTGTATAATGTTGCACTGACTTTGAATACATGATAATGATGATTTTGTGCTTGGATTGATTTTAACATTTTTGGTGTGTTTGGACAAATATATTCATCTGACATTGTGTTGTTCGTTTGTTCTGCAGGCGTCATATTTTCCTCTATGTCAAAGCTCGGGTCATTGTTGTCAGCACTGCTGCCGTTTGGATCAATAGGAAATGAAGGCAATGAACCTGTGAGCATGGCCTGCTGGAAGCTGTGTAGAATTGGCTTGTTCGCTCTTATGAATGGACCCCTTATTTGGCCAGAGTGTGTCGTTGTGCAAGTATCCACACATAAGACACACAGCAGAGAGAGCACACCCATCAACACAAGCTCTAAACTTATTCAAACTTTAGGATTATAGCAAATAGCAGGATATTAAATGACCAAATGGTCATATACCAGGAGGGGCCTACTATGAACTTTGGACACGTCACATGTCTCTACAGACAAGCAAAGGGCAGAAAGCAATGACAAAACCCTGGCTTTTTGGTTATGTAAGTGAAGTATTTTTATATGACTTACCATTTACATTTATAAAAAGGTGAGTGTGTTTCGATTTACATAACTTCATCCAGTGTGTATTGTTTAAAACTTCGATCAGTGTTCTTTGATTATTGTATAATTCCATAAGAGATTTACCGTGGGTAGGTTGGCACAGATGGATTTGACTTCATACTCTATGTAAGCCGCCTCCACTCCTGCTTCTCGGCCCATCTGAGTGTAGCACAGGTCTCTGGTGGAGTTGATCCTCACATCTATATCGTGTAGGTTAAACATACAAAGGGCAGAGTCCTCGCTTGGCCGAGGTGATGAAGTGGACTGAGTAGAGAAGACCCCCAGCAGAACGTCCAGACCGCCCACCCCTGAGCGGCCCAGCTGCACCGCCTGCAACAGGCTGTACACCTTTCCTGCTCTGGAGCGACACGTTAAAGGCACTTCTACATAGGAGTAATACGACTGGTCATCCAGGCAAACTCGAGACACATATGTCCGATATTCTCTGGACTGAGACTTCAAATCTCGCCTGTAGAACAAAAAGTATACATGATGTTGGTGCGCAAAAGTAGCCACAAAATGGTGATCGTACTCCGACAGGCGTCCAGCCACAGCCAGTTTAGCTGTGTCTTCATAAGAAAAAATAGATCCTTGAGCAAGGTTTCGGGTGGAAATGGGAGGGTGGCTGCTGGTGTAACCCCGTCCCACAAACAAAACAGGCTGGCGCTCAGGGTAAGCCCGGACAACGACTCCTACAGTGCTGACATTGGGATGGTTGGCGGCCACGTACTGAGTATCTACTGGCCGTTCGGTGGAGAAAAAGATTTGATCCACTGAATCCAGGCTACGTTTCTGACATATTCCCTGATTGACACTCCCACAGGTGATGAGGTTCTCAGAGTACGGGTCAACGAGCAGCAGCTTGTTGTGGTTATTCGTGCTCCTGGCCTGAGGACAAGTGATCTCTGTCACAGGAGGCAGGCACTCTTGGCTGTCAGTCACTGGGCCGGTGTCGGCTTGGACATCTATTTGGAAGTTTTTGTTAAGTTGGAAAAGATGGTTCCGGGCCCCCACATACACCCGCCCGACATGAGGGTCCGGGTGCAGAGCAAAATGCTCGAACACAGTGTTTGGGTGAGTGAATGTTGGGTACGACTGAGACGGATCTGATCCAGTTGTGACGCTGATGGACAAGGCTACAGAGAGGACCAGGAGGGTTAGCACTGGGGGTCCAGCCCCACAGTGAGCTCCCATCCCTGGACCAAGGGCTTCAGACCTGTGGATGCACATAGAAAGGTTTTATTATATACAATGGTCTTAATTTAGCAAACATGCAGCAAGAAAGGTGAATGTGGTTTGGGTATAGCAAGAACATCATTCAAATACAGTAAATACATATAATAATCATATTTATGGCCCACATAAATCAAAGCGTTCGAATGGAAAAATAATTAATTTGCACACGTAGACAAACAGAGTGTGTTTATCGATTCTTACCCTCAAGAAGTGTCCTGCAGCATAATCAGCTCCTCCATCTACGGAGCATCAATGTTTCACTTCAGTCGTCCAGGGCATCACCTGCAAAGAACACACCAATAGTTACACCAATTGAAACAAAATACGTCATGATTGCACTGTAGAAATATTGTCATGGAAATAACATGAGACAGGCCAAGTGTACAGGTGGACAGAAGGAACCATCACAAAGCTGTTGCTGTTGTGTATATGTTTATATGATTAGCGGAAAATAGTGGTGTCTAACACTAGTAAAAAAAAATATTTTTTTTTTTACTAGTGTTAGACACCACTATCGTCCGCTAATCCCAATATTGTCAAGCCTATGGCAGATCAAATCGGAAAGTGTAATCCACAGTTGACTCCGTTAGACATTGAGCAGGGCAACTGAGGGAAGAGTACTCAGATTAGGAGGCCAATGACTAGATAAATGTGCATCATGCACAGTCCCATAACAGGCCAGTGGAAACATGCCTTCAGGCAGACTCCATTGAAAGCTAACTTTCACTTTACCCTCGGCTGCACGCTCCACTGAAGGCTGAGGCTAGTAGCATGTGGGCAGGCACAGAACGGACTCCAAGCTAGCTCCTCATTGTCCATTGACAGATTTTAAGTGATAAAGTGCCTCCTCCTAGATGTGTACAGATTGACTGCTGGGAACGCCGTAATGAAGCTCACCGCCAGGGTCAAGGTTAAGCAGCTCTTTGCTATGAGTTTAATTCAGACCTTGAGTCCTTTCAAAACAACATTTTCCATTTCATAGCAAAGATGTGAACCCTCACTTCCACTGAAATGCATATGATTCTCAAATGACTGTTGCATGTCAGCCAGTTCATTAGTCACCCTTCTTCAAATGTCCCAGGATGTTTTTAGAGTCTGAACTATTCTATCTAGACATAAAAATCACAAAATTACAACGTTTGCAGGATGTTGGTTAAAAAAAAAATCACGATGAGCCTTTTCCAAAATAGACAAAACTTCAACCAGGCTTTTGTGCCGTCACGTTTCTCAGCGAATGAATGCATTCCTATCAGACACTATTCAAGCTCATCTCATTATGTGCTTCATGAACCTGAAGATCAAAGCTTTCTCCAGAGTCCTCTCTCACCTGACCCACACTACACAAGACTACAAAGCTGAACTACTGCGCCTCTTTGACTTTAGTGTAAAGACCTGGTAATGATTGGTTAAGTTCTCACAAAGCCTTTAAAACAAGGTTAAGAAGTGGCTCACAACAGCATTTTACATGAAAACTTTCAAAATATTGTGACGATTAGTCAATTGGGAAGTAATAAGAGCATTCTGCCTGATGCTGCGGTGACAATAGAACTGTTGTAGTTTAGGACAACATCATTATTGTGAACCTAAAACCAACACATTTCAGATCTACTTAAACTTGTGACAGATTTAGGGGTCAGGGGATCCTCTGGCGCAAATGTACAACTGTAGTCACTTTGTTCAAACCAAGCAAAAAGGAATCTCCGAACCCATATTCAATACCTCTGTTCATAACCAAAACAATTAAATACAAAGCAATAACTACAGATGCAACACATGAACGAATGATCACATTACACAATAGACGCTTTACAAAAGTATATAAGTAAAATAATCTGATCAAAATCTACTAATAAAATATTGGATTCAAAGGCAGTTTGAAAAAACTAATAAAAATGTCCAAATTGCTAACTAGTGGCTTAGCGTTAGCATTACCACCATCATATCCACCTGGCATGTCTTTCCAAATAATAAAGCCTTGAAAATTAGTTATTTAAAAGTTCCATATTACCCTTCTCGACTTTTCTATGCTTTAAACATCATTAAAGTGCTATTTGACCTTCAACACATGCCCAAAGTAGTTTCTTCATTGATTCCTTCAAAGTTTAAGTTAGAGAGCCATCTTTCTTCTTCAATCAAATGATCAACTGACCGCACACAAACACACTACAGGTGGAAGTGAGGCGAACGAGGCTGAAGGACGGATGTGATGAGGACCGCGCTGATGACAGGAGGTTTAAACACTTTCTCATTAACGTTTGCATTCATCCTTTGTTTTGTAAAGCACTTTGAGTTGCCTTGTGTATAAACTGTGCTATACTAATAAACGTGCCTTGCATAGTGTCCCAACCCACTTCCAAACCAGAGAATCAACGAATAACAAGGCAAATGTCAATAGCGAGCATGGACTGTATATTCGGAGTGGACTGACCTAGTGCCGACATCATCCATATGTTTGCAGGATGCGGACGAAGCCGATTTGACCATAAGCGAGCTGGAACCAATTTCCTTATATGGGCATTTCTTCCGGCAACAGGGGCAGACGTGTTGCTAACATGGTTGCTATGGCAAGCTGGAGTTTTCCCCACGAAAGGAAGAATCTGACGGATCAACCATTATGGCTCATATCTGGATTCATGAAGACATATCAAAATAAAACACCCAGCATCACAGAGAGCGCTAAACAACATATTGTTTTATCCTAAAATGGTGAGTGTGACACAAACGGTTACTGAGCTCAAGGAGTTTACTTTGTAACGTAAGTAAATGAGGCAAGGAAATGTTGGAGCAAAACTTTGTCCATGAGCACTTCTCCATCAAGCTTCATTGAGCTGGGGAGTTAACATTGCCCATCAATATACAGGGTTTGATAGTGAAGTAAAACAGCAGTAAAACGTATTTTTTAAAACTATGAAAAGTTGGATTAAAAAATGTCTTTTTAAATTTACATTATTATTCAGGCCTTTACACACTCAAGAGGGTATACAACGAGCATGTTCTGTTTTTCCACAGTTCAACACCTTAAGGTTGTGTCATAAGCCAAGCCAGGGGTTGAGTAAACAATAACTTTTTAACCTCAGTTCACATAAACAGGGGTTCTATAACAGCTGCTTACTTTATATTGCACATTTACAAACTCCTCAGGGGCGACAGTAGCTCAGTTGGTAGAGCATTGGCCTTAAGCCCAGAAGGTCGTGGGTTCAATTCCCACCTCTGCACCTTCTCCACCGACTCCCACTGATGACTGCTGTCGTTGTGTCCTTGGGCAAGACACTTAACCCCACTTTGCCCAAAGCCCCCACTGAAAGATCAAGGCTATGCTCACACTCAGAGAGCAGCCGTCCTCCTGTGGACTCACCACCTGCAGAGGGTCAGTGAGGGGCTGGTGCTATGAGACTTGGGTGGCATCTCTGATTGCCACCCCCCTGACCCAGAAATGGATTAAAGGGTAGAAAATGGATGGATGGATTTACAAACTCACTCTATCTGCATGATGGTGAAAATAAACAAGTGTAAGCAGATAGTCTGTGCTTAACATAGAAGCATGGCTCTTGGGCCCAGTGGACAGTGACTAAACTTTATCTGCTCCCGATTTAGAACGGTTCATCAGAGTATGGGGCTGTTGACAGTCTTCAGACAGCAGCACTTCTGTGTGTGTACCAAACATTACATTAGTCTGGTGGTGAAACACTGAGCACCAACTGCAACGGGGAGTCGACCAAAACCTGTGCTTCGTCATTCAAATCCAAAACAAACTCACAAAACGCATAATACAGTTAAAATGTAAGGGTAGCGTTTTCTCTACTTTTGCTCTACGTTTATTGTCAGCATGAATGTCTGTAAAAAAAAAAAAAAATCACAACAAATGATCACAACATCACTTTAGAACACATTTTCAGCTATTATTTAAGAGCTAATTGATTATAATGAGATAGTGTTTTATTTTTATTTTCTTAAGTTTTGTCCCTGTTCATCAAGAGGTAATTATGGCTAACAACAGTTTGTGTAGTATTAACACTTAACACCCATATTCCCAGATGCATAATAATTAATACATGGGGAAGTGTCAGTAGTCAGTAGTCGTAGTTGAATAAGGCGATGTCATTAACCATACATTAATATACTAATTTGCTGTTAATAAGTAAATACTAAAATAAAGTGTTACCCAAATTCAGTATTGTGAAAGTTGTCAACTAATTTAGTAAAATAAATCATCCTAATCTTACATAGACTCAAACATGCTGAAGAGGTTTTGTGCTACAGCGGGTTAATGTGTCTTGAGATGTTGTGTCTTTGGAAATGATCCGATATCAGCTAGTTCATCAAAATAATGTGAAAATAAAATAATGTGAGAATATAAGAAAGACTTTTTACGCTTGTTAGGTTTTCTATATACTGTAATGCGCTTTGATGAGAATGACTTTGGTTTGTTCATAAAGGCTGCAGAGTTTCATGTTTGTATCAGTTTCAGCTGGTGGTGTGCTGTGATTGTTCTCAAGGAAAAGGGAGTGCCGCAGCACAGAAATTAAATTGCGTTAACAATTTTCGGGATTGAAACAACTAATTGATTATCAATAATAATAATTACATATAATACATATATATATATATACAATATAATATATGTATGTACTATTTGATAATGACAAAAATATATTGATCCATCACAATGAAAGAAATGGGTCGACGATAGGACCAACTGCTTCAGTGGCTCTTAAATAAAAACAACGAGAAACCAAAAACTACAATAATAATATACTATAATATAAAAACTGAACTATTTAATATAGTATATTTATTATCAATGACCATTGTATTATTGTGAATTGGAATATTGGAAGCATTATCCATAAGATGTTAGGTTGCCTTGCCAAAAATGGCAAAAATATTACACATTTATTTGTAAAGCACAGTTCATGGCAACTCAAAGTCCTTAACAAAACAAGATAGAAACAATAATT